ATTAACCATCTTCTTGGCATGATTGACGGCTATGAAGGGCAACTCGGACGACGATTAGGAGTACAGGAGATTGTGACACATCCTCTTTTGTATGCATAACAATTCCTACACTGCAAATGGCAGCCAAAATCGGCCTGTTACAGCCTTATCCAACTGGCTGGCGACATAGAAGACCTGGCCGTGAAATTTAAGAAACCAGAAACGCGTAGAAGTCTTCTAACAGGCACTGGACACTGCTCGGCACTTGTGAAGGTAATTTCGCTTGAGAATTGTCATGAATGCTGCTAAAAGGAAGGAATGTAGGATTTTTCTGGATTATTTCAGTATTGCATTATAAATTCAATTTGCATTCAATCTGCAAAGTTAGTCTTTCTATTTGGGATACACGTAGTAAAGGTTTTTTTTGAATTAGCAGTATTCTTTGAATTCCTCAGAGAACGACTCATTTAAAGAAAAACATATTTATTCAAAACTCTATGCACAAGACAGTGAAAGAATCATCGTAAGAGCAAGCAAGGTTGTGACAGTAGCGAGAGATGGGTTAGTACGAAATAGATTAGAGGGAGGTCGAAGAAAGAAGATTTATCCATAAATTATGCTTGACCATGGTTTTGGTCATCCAAACTTTTAGGTACTTCCCGATCACTCCGACATCTATTTCTCACATGTGACGTGGGCCTCCTATTCATCGATGCTTCGAATGCAGAAACGATACACTTTCGCTACTTCGGACCCAGGAAAAAGCTATGCGTTCAGCGGCTATCCAGGTGTGTAGAATCATGCTAAACTGTTAAGAGTCAAAATTCTGATTTTTTTTCTCTAGGGTCTATTCCCTCTGTTGATGACTTTATCGTAACTTCGGCCAAATTAGCAATCTTGGAAACTACCATTAGCAACTATAATGAGGAGCTGGAACAGTACATGACTCCGCAGAGTGTGTTATGTTGGATCAGGTCACAGGTAAAACATGTCGGTTGCAGATTTTTCGGGGAATGCAAGGGAAATAATAACGGCCTAAAAGGGCGCAAATGGCCGGGTTCATTTGGGACTAGTTCTCTATATTTTAGACCTTAAAATTGATTTTTAATCTGTTGTGCGATTATCTTCATTTATTATCAATCGAAACTCCGCTAGAATACTGCTACGTTCGAGCAGACACTGCTATACTCACTTAAAGTCGAAGTGGCGATTTAAAAAGCGACACATATCGTTACATGCAGTTTAAAACGCTGATTTCAAATTTACCTTCCATATCTGCAAAGCGCTTTTCTGGAAGAGGTTTTTCTTTATCAAAAATGGCTTACATGACTTGGATTAATGCTCAAAGTTCAAACTTGACCCAAAACAGCAGCGCGAAGGTTGATTAGATATAAAAATATGACTTCGTAATAAATTAAACCATTTTCTTGTTGTTTCTGGTTGGATTTAACGTTGTAGAGCAGTTCTGGAGGAGGCGCAGCCTAATTTCAACATAGAAAAGCTCCCATAACTTCTTCCAGGGAAACGCTTCGCAGATATGGAAGGCAGATTTAGAATCAGCGTCTGAAGCTGCATCTATCAGTATGCATCATTTTTTGAACCATTCGACCAAGTATCCTTCCCTTGTTAGATACTTACTTAGATGGCCTCTCTTCACTCGTCGTGCAGGCCCCAGCAGTGTTTTTATCCGTTGCTGTCTCTCGCTATCATCCACGGTGTCGGTATTGAACTGCGGCGGCTTCTTTTCCTATTACATGCTGTTCAGGCAGTAAGATAAATCCCCAAATTTAGCAGCCTTGCCAGGGCCTGCCAAGCTTTCACTACAGGCAATCGCAGACTGTTTGATAACCATCTAGCGACTCAGTCGGCCAGAGTGGGGCTTCTGGCATGGCCTACTCTAGCTGGGCATGCATCTAGGGAGCCGGAAACATTGAACTTCTTCAGCTTGGGAGACCCTGCTGGAGGACCGTTGTACTTCGCAGTGACACCAGAGTCACCCAGCCCCAATGGTAGACCATCACAGGGAAGACACTATTATAGCCGATAATAATTTGTTAAACATGAGAAAAGGAAGAAGGAATAAAGGCAACCCATTAAGGGTATCGGTCGTATTCCAGAGTTTTGTAATTTTTTTCCAATTTTATCAATTGAAATCCGTTTATATCCCTTGCTAATTGCAGGTGGCCCATCGCACTGCGTCATCAGGAGTTCAGTGGGCGAAGACGTTTGCCAAGTATAACTCTGGTACCTATAACAACCAGTGGAGCATTCTTGACTACAAGAAATTCCGTCAAAATCAACAAAACAAACTGCTCCATGGACTTCTACATGTGCTGGAGCAGCTACCGTAAATATTCCAAAACATTCCAAATTCTAGTTACTAAACTTTAAATAGATGAATTATTTAACTTGTTTCTAGACAACACGTTGTTCATACTGACATGTCGCACACGCTACTCCGTGAGAAATATTGGCCAAGCTACAATTCCCCGTAAGTTATTGGTGAACTTGTATGAGTGAGAAGACTGGATAAAGTATATTATCCCGTCTTTCTGCAAGGCGTCATGATGATAATCGTTTTTTTTTT